GGCGTTCCCAGGTCCACCCTGACCCGGGGTTGTAGCACCTGTTAAGGTCCCAAATGTGGGCAGATAGTTGACACCCAAACTTGTGTAAAAATAGGTTTTAATACCAGAAATATTTTGTAATAAAAAAAATATTACCAACAATAATTTTTGAAGGAAAAATTATCATCAGCAATACTTTTAAAAAAATACCAGCAATACAAACAGCTATACATTCTTCGGAAAAAATATGACCATCTATAGATTTCTTCAAGGAAATATATTCCCAGAAATAGATGTTTGAAGAAAAACATTACCAGCAATAAAAATTTATCGGCATTAAATAACCCATTGAGGTTTCGATATGCCGTAAAACAAACCAAACCACATCGTCCTTTATGCTTCATCAAACTAAATTTGTTATGTTAGTGCGACTACACATGCGCACGGACGATGGATGCTGGGAATTTAAATTTTTTTATTTTTAATGTAGCCGATTTCATTTAGATTCTTTTCCTTTTCATCACTTTTGTTCGTAGATATCCCACATTGTGATGACAAAAGATCTTTCAGGTATGGTGAAATGTTGTAAGAGCCATAGTCATCCACATGTTTTGCTCTATCACAGCTCATCATTTTGGCTAGACGTCCGATTGCTTCAAGCTGGGATCGAAACTCGACCGATTTGACATCAGTTAGAGATCTTACTAAGCTATCGTCACAAGAGAAAGGGAAATTTTAACCTATTAAATATGTAATGTGTATAAACACCAGTGGCCAAGAGAGCTCAATTCGTAATTGAAGAGCAGTGCATTAATAGCAGTAGCAAACTTTATATATATATATATATATATATATATATATATATATATATATATATATATATATATAAGTAAATGCTCTGTTTATAATAAACAGTATTAAATAACATTTACTTAAATACTTGTATCTATAAAAAAAGAACGTTAAACATAAAAATGTCTTTAATAAATAAATTGTCCATTTCTTATATATATATATATATATATATATATATATATATATATATATATATATATATATATATATATTAATCCTAGAACACTAACCATCAATTAAAGTTACACCACTACTAACCATGGGTATATCATACCCGATTTTGAAAATATCAAAAAAAAATATTTAATATAAAACTTTATTTGAAATATTTTACATGCGGGCCCTTCAAACTTTGTACTTTGAGTTAACATTAATAGGAACTGAAAAACATTATTTAGGTAAGAAAATCAGGTGCTGAAAATTGTAATTAAAAATAGAAAAATTTACGCTGGGTACTATATACCCATGGTTAGTGTTCTAGGGCTAATTTCCTACAGTTTTATCGTAATTTGGTATCCCAATAAAAGGCTAGGCAAAATTTACAATTAAATTTTCATGACGTGGAAGAAGACAATATCGGTGGTTAAGTGTATCGCCTGAGTTCTTCTGTCCTAACTGCTGAGTAAAAGCCATTGTAAAAAAAAAATCAATGAATTCAGAAAAAAAAAAAAGAAAAGAAAAACTCACCATTTTCCCACCACAGTAGAGTTCGTTATCATTGTAATTGACTGGATTGTTAAAGCCAAATCTCCACATACTATTTCTGGCCGGAGGATCCATAAGCCTCCCATGGCTAAAGACCATATCTACCATCCACGCGAAAAGAGAATAAGTTAAAAACATCATCTTTTTGCCGCCAATTATTTTGGAGAAAGACCAACTTCTCTCGGTTTAGTTATAACAAAAATAACGTCACGTCTATGTGCGTCGATTTATTTAATAAAATTCGTCTTTTTTTATGGTTTTTATCAATTCTTCTCCATCAGTTCTTTTGTCGTCTGCTCATGAAAATTCTTCAGCTTCGACCTTCTATTCAATTATTCATCTGCAAACTATACAGAAATAAATGTTTATGACGATGTTTTAGAAACACCAATCTGGATTTTTGCTTATCATTATTCGAAAATTCATAGATTGAAAAATCATCTGACACAGTTTATCTTTTTTTATCTTGATTTGTATTTTTGTTAAGTTTTACACTCCCAGACGGATCATTTATTTTTCTTAAATAATCCTACACGGCACAGAAACGCCCCAGAACCTGTCCATTTTTACAGAATTGTCGTAAACAACTTCCGGTTTTTATAATGTCCGATTTTAGTTTAAGTACGTATTTTCCCTCTTGGTACTTTATGGCAGAAACATTTGAAGAATCTGTCATTTTTAAGGTTGTATCTGCCATTGTTCTTGAAATGTCTTCTACTCCCGTCATGTCTAGTCATGTCAAAACAACGCCATACTTTGTTTCTTCTCGGGGGGGGCACTGTGAGAATATTTCAAGACATCACATACGTGGAATGACTGTCGTTAAAAGAATGCGCTTCGTGCCAAGGACCCTGTCTCTATATGGAGGTCACTGGTCCCCTTCTGTTTGTTCAGGCATGATTTTTCATTTCTTCAGCGGCAATCTCGACAAACATACACCCCTCTTGCCATAACGGTCAGTTCGGTAAATATAGCCAGCTCCACGAACAAACATTTTTTTTCCTTTTCGTGTAGTTTATATTTGTCTTGTGTCAACCGATGCAATTGTTCGGTCGGAGCTGATTTCGAATCATTTGGCTGTCGGTCAACACAGACTGGGTCTAAGTCTGTATTTATCTCAAAGTTAGTTCAATGTTAGTTGACCGGAAATAAAGAGCTAAGTTTAACTTATTCTGCAAGAAAATTAGAACAGGATTTCTAAGAAAAATTGAAGTAACTAACATATCGAGTTTTCAGCACTACTTAAAAATTAACTGGTCCGCTCCTAAAAAAACAAACAAACAAAAAAAAAAAACAGGGAATATTTTGAAACTATTTCTATAGAGTGGTATTCATAAGACATTCCTCTACCAATGACATTTTGTTAGAATTGAAAAATATTGATTTTTATCAATTGAGAATTGAGGGTCCTGTTTCTCATATAAATATAGTGTCAAATCGATCCCCGACTTCTTAAAAAGTTATCTTTTATTTACACATGTCAAGCTGTCTACGACCTTGATAACTGTGTACTATTACGAATTAGGAAAAGACAACATCAGTAATATGCAGTTAGCTCTTGAAAATATATTTTCAATTGAGCACTGCTGAATGACAAGCTAATTCTAAAAACAACGGTCACTTGCGTAAATGCGAAGCTCTTCAGCAAAATGAATGGAGCACTATGGCTGCTTGGCGTTTGTTTACGTTTGTAAAAAAAAAACAATACACTATATTTGGCTGACTCATTCTGTCAGGTGAAGATGGCTCAGTGGTAGAAGATCTGACTGACACTAAATCAGTTGGGTTTCGGTCCGAGCTTGAGGTATGCAGTTGTCTAGTCGCACTGAGGAGCTGTGATACGGCGGAACAGTACTGTCTGCGAATATATATATATATTTAGGCAGCATATTTTCTTTTAAGCATATTGCATTAAATAATATAGACATATTATGTCTATGTTTTTTATAATAATCCTTTCTAGTTCTCTAATTATCTTGTTGATGTTGAAATTAATCAAGGAAGGCGCCGTATTTTTTTGTTAACCCAAGTACTTTCGATCTCTTCACCGAAATCATCCTCAGGGGTGAATTGCGAAGACAAACTTAATGTAACTGTAATCGTTGTGATGGTGATTTTTGCAAACACGCGCGAACGCGCTCTGCTATAATTATTTTCAAATTAACCGTTGTGGTTACGATGGTTTGTAAACAAGCGTTCCCAATGCAAAGGGGATAACCAGAGATGGTAAATTGCAAAATGGTGTTAAATGTTAGTCAACTGAAATGCAATTTAAAACATTGCTACTATACTCGTAATAAATTTTGTTCAGTGTTGGTTTGTTACTTTTTATAAATTTTCAAACTCGGGTCAGAGAAGAAGAGAATAATTGGGCTGTAACACCAGATCCCACATCTGTTTGAATGCTGTTGGAAAATTTCACTATAAAGAAACAGAATTTATGATTGTCAGCAAGAGGAACAGCCAAAATATCAATCTTCCTATATGGCAATGATTACTGGACAATTTCTTTACAAATAAAGAGAAGAATGGAGGTAGCAGAAATGTGGTTGCTGAGAATTTCATGGATGGATCATCTGAGCAATGAGGAAGTTTTTAAAAAATGGAAACAAAAAGGACATTTATACTCAAAACCAGAAAGAGACAGCTGAAATTTCATTGATACATAAAGAAGAAAGAAGGCTTGGAGAATTTGACACTCACTGGCAAAAAAGAAATGTGGAGGCAGCAGGCCACCTACCTGATCATCTCGTATGAATGGGTGGAGGAACTAGAAATGTGAGGAATGATAAAGAGAGAAATTTTACTAAGATCTACAGAGGGTAGGAAGTTGTGGAGATCCATGATCGCCCACGTCCTGAAGGGATATGACACATAGAAAATGATTGTCATTGAATAGCACAGTTTTTCTCTGGCAATAGAATCATTAATAGATCTGGTGGTAGTAAGTACAATCTACAACATTAAATTCAACAGATTTTGTAAGATAGTAAGAACATTAAAAACATACCACTGGTAGGTAGGTATGTATGAGCAATTAATATTATATAGTAATTAATGTCTAAAAGACAATAGTTTAATCACGGGTCTTTATACTGCTGAACAATCCCTTTACAGATGAAGAGAAGACTGGAGGTAACAGAAATGTGGTTCTACAGAAGGATGCTGAGAATACTATGGACTGAACATGCGAGTAAAAGCTTTAAGGAAAATGGAAACAAAAAGGTCAATTATACTTAGAATCAGACAAAGAAAGAGTTGAACCTTTTAGGACACAGCTCGAGAGAGAAGTATAGAAAGAGAAGTTTAAAGAGAGAGAGAAAGAAAGAAAGAAAGAAAGAAAGAAAGAAAGAAAGAAAGAAAGAAAGAAAGAAAGAGATAAGGGTTTTAAAGGAAAGTGCAAATGCCTTATTTTAATTTGAATTCTTTTTATTTTTATTTTTCCTCTTTTTATTTGAGGGTTACCCTCTCGTTAGTTGAGAGAGAAGTAGAGAGAGAGAGATGGAAAGAGAGAGAGATGGTAAGAGAAAGAGAAGTTGAGAGACAAAGAAAGAAAGAAAGAAAGAAAGAAAGAAAGAAAGAAAGAAAGAAAGAGATAAGGGTTTTAAAGGAAAGTGCAAATGCCTTATTTTAATTTGAATTCTTTTTATTTTTCTTCTTCCTCTTTTTATTTGAGGGTTACCCTCTCGTTAGTTGAGAGAGAAGTAGAGAGAGAGAGAGATGGAAAGAGAGAGAGATGGTAAGAGAAAGAGAAGTTGAGAGACAAAGAAAGGAAGAAAGAAAGAAAGAAAGAAAGAAAGAAAGAAAGAAAGAGATAAGGGTTTTAAAGGAAAGTGCAAATGCCTTATTTTAATTTGAATTCTTTTTATTTTTCTTCTTCCTCTTTTTATTTGAGGTTTACCCTCTCGTTAGTTGAGAGAGAAGTAGAGAGAGAGAGATGGAAAGAGAGAGAGGTGTAAAGAGAAAGAGAAGTTGAGAGAAAGAAAGAAAGAAAGAAAGAAAGAAAGAAAGAAAGAAAGAAAGAAAGAAAGAAAGAGATAAGGGTTTTAAAGGAAAGCGCAAATGCCTTTTTTTAATTTGAATTCTTTTTATTTTTTTTACCGGGACTCACTAAAAAGCTTTCCGCCATATTCACATTGATTTTAATGTGAATTTTGGAAAATCCAAACCAAAATTGAAAAATACTTCATGGGGTTCATCAGGAGGTTCTTTGTTTGAGAAGCTAATTAATCATGTCTATTCCCTGACCGAAGTCTATATAAACGAAATGCGCATGCACAGAAATGAGTTTTCAGAAAGTTCGAGAAAGTTACCCCGAGATCTACGGAGCACGCGTTCCTCGAAGGTGAAAACAATCAGCACCGACCAATTAGCCCTTCATGGGGGCTAGCTTAAATGTCTCCACTGAATGCGGCTTTTAAGCCAGTTTTTTATAAAAGTATCTTTAATTTGAATAGAGTTATCTGCCTTAGTAGCTATGTAATATCGTACTCAATTTATAGATTAAACTCACCAAATCCTGACCATTTTTCGTAGGCTATGGTATTTTGGGTCAGAAAAACTAAAGTTAATAAGTAGAAAATGGATGCTATTTTCAGTTTTAGTACTCCAGAATTGTTCAAAATTAGTAAAACATCCTACGCCCTATTTTTTTTTAATCTATGTATTTAATGGGCAAATGTTCTTTAAGGAAAATGTTATTAAAGACAACAGACATTTTGTATCGATTCATTTTATTTACCGACTTTTCCAAATTACGAATAATCCTTCTCGGATAAGGAGAAAATTCCGTCAGAAATTCTCCAAAGTTCATTTTAAAAGAAGCTTTAAAAAGTGGTCTTTGCAAGTTTAACATATTAAGTGAATTAAAATGGAGGAAAGATCAATTCAACGTTTTTGAATCTAAAGATTTCCCAGTTTGTGTTTGACAGTTTCATATTTTTTTTTAACTTTTTGCCAATAAACACCCAAAATGCACCTTAGGAGAATATTTATTCAAAGTATTGGTTATCTGATGAGAAATGTATCCCGGAAAACGCCGGAAAGATCATCATGTTGTTTTAATTTCTTCTTTTTTTATTTTTTACTTTCCTAAAGGTTTTTTGCGGGCATTTCATACCGGGGAATGTTGTACAAATGACACGACACAACTGTATAGGAACGTGTTTATAGCTAAATTATGTTCTTTAAAATTGGTCACTCAGTGTAAAAATCAGACTAACAACCAGTTCTTGTAAAGGGTTAAGATGGCGATCGGCACAAACGTAATACAAGATTCAATGTGACAAGTCCATGGTGTCACGTTCCTGATTTGTGCCCTGCTTGTGTACATAAGATGTCGACTTCACTTCCGGTAAAGTTAAAGCACGAAAAATCCACAATTATTTCCACGTGTAAGAATTCTCCATATTGCTGGTAAAAAAAGAAAGGTAATAAAAAAGTCTTAAGATATTTCAATAGTTAGATCAGATTCTTATGACTCAGAAAGGGGCAATAAATAATAGGTTGGCTCGTAAATAATTTATGCTAATATTCTTCAAAGAATAAAGTATAATTTACATTTCATATTCACCATTATTCATAATTCTTCAAACTATAAAGTACAATTTACATTTCAAATTCACCATTATTCATTATTCTACAAGCAATAAAGTACAATTTACATTTCATATTCACCATTATTCATTATTCTTCAAAGAATAAAGTACAATGTACATTTCATATTCACCATTATTCATTGTTCTTCAAAGAATAAAGTACAATTTACATTTCATATTCACCATTATTCATTATTCTTCAAAGAATAAAGTACAATTTACATTTCATATTCACCATTATTCATTGTTCTTCAAAGAATAAAGTACAATTTACATTTCATATTCACCGTTATTCATTATTCTTCAAAGAATAAAGTACAATTTACATTTCATATTCACCATTATTCATTGTTCTTCAAAGAATAAAGTACAATTTACATTTCATATTCACCATTATTCATTATTCTTCAAAGAATAAAGTACAATTTATTTCATTTCATTATATTCACCATTTATTCATTATTCTTCAAAGAATAAAGTACAATTTATATTTCATATTCACCATTATTCATTGTTCTTCAAAGAATAAAGTACAATTTACATTTCATATTCACCATTATTCATTGTTCTTCAAAGAATAAAGTACAACAATTTATTCATTGTTTTCAAAGAATAAATATTCACCATTATTCATTGTTCTTCAAAGAATAAAGTACAATTTACATTTCATATTCACCATTATTCATTGTTCTTCAAAGAATAAAGTAAATTTATTTCATATTCACCATTATTCATTGTTCTTCAAAGAATAAAGTACAATTTATTTCATATTCACCATTATTCATTGTTCTTCAAAGAATAAATTTCATTATTCATTGTTCATTTACATTTCATATTCACCATTATTCATTGTTCTTCAAAGAATAAAGTACAATTTACATTTCATATTCACATTATTCATTGTTCTTCAAAGAATAAAGTACAATTTACATTTCATATTCATTATTCATTGTTCTTCAAAGAATAAAGTACAATTTACATTTCATATTCACCATTATTCATTGTTCTTCAAAGAATAAAGAATTTCATAATTATTATTGTTCTTCAAAGAATAAAGTACAATTTACATTTCATATTCACCATTATTCATTGTTCTTCAAAGAATAAAGTACAATTTACATTTCATATTCACCATTATTCATTGTTCTTCAAAGAATAAAGTACAATTTACATTTCATATTCACCATTATTCATTGTTCTTCAAAGAATAAAGTACAATTTACATTTCATATTCACCATTATTCATTGTTCTTCAAAGAATAAAGTACAATTTACATTTCATATTCACCATTATTCATTGTTCTTCAAAGAATAAAGTACAATTTACATTTCATATTCACCATTATTCATTGTTCTTCAAAGAATAAAGTACAATATTACCATTATTCATTGTTCTTCAAAGAATAAAGTACAATTTACATATTCATATTCACCATTATTCATTGTTCTTCAAAGAATAAAGTACAATTTACATTTCATATTCACCATTATTCATTGTTCTTCAAAGAATAAAGTACAATTTAATTTTATTCATTATTCATTATTCACCATTATTCACTATTATTCATTCTTCAAAGAATAAAGTACAATTTACATTTCATATTCACCATTATTCATTATTCTTCAAAGAATAAAGTACAATTTACATTTCATATTCACCATTATTCATTGTTCTTCAAAGAATAAAGTACAATTTACATTTCATATTCACCATTATTCATTATTCTTCAAAGAATAAAGTACAATTTACATTTCATATTCACCAATATTATATATTCACCAGTGTTTGCAATGACTTGTTGCTATTAAACATATAGTTTTTCATCACCTTTTCAGTAAAATTTCTTAGGTTTTGATGTAGACAAAATTCTCGGCAAACTCTTGGATCTGGTTTCCATTTGAGAAAGTTTTCACCATCAAAGCATTTTGGAGCAACCGAAAAATGTAATAAATGGTTCGTGTGTAGTCCGGTAAAGATGACCAAATGACGTCCAAAATTTATTCTTGTGTTATACTTGTTGAATGTGGCTTTGCGTTGTCATGGAGGAGAAAAAACATTTTCCTTTAATCCACTGTGTACGCTGCCATACAAAAACTAAGGTATGGTAGCGTATTCCAAATTTATTCTTTATTGTCACGTATGATTCGTAGTTAGAACGATAAGATTCTCATTACAATTGGTTTTCCCTAAAATAGAAATTACTTAAGACTCAACAACACCGAGTTCCTGGAAGTCTAAGGATTTCTACAGATTGGCATTTTATGACCTACATTTTGTTGTAACCTAGGGAAGGTTATTGACTAAAATAATCACACGAAGGTTGGCAATGAACGGTAATACATGGAACAGGAACAACACATATACAAGAAGTAGTCAAGTGAGTCAAGTGAATTCCACAATAAATCTCCAACTGCAGACCAACATACAGTATTTACTATTGTATTTATGTGAATGGGGACATACCCGTTATCATCCGTAGGTATTCTACAACAATGTGTGAATCCGCAAAAATAAAAAAAAAACTAGTGATTTTTAAACACAAGGTCTGATCAAAAAGTATCGTGACAGGTGCTATAAAAATAAAACTACAATATATATCAATTCGGCATTTAATCGCCTTCGAAGTAGTCCCCTTCTGAAGCCCACTTGACTTATGGCTTTAGCCAATCGAGTAGAAGCTCATTGTGTTACAACACAAAAAATATAATAAATAAATATATTCTGTTTATGTGTGAACAGTGCAAAATAATCTGTAGTTTCGAGCCAAAGTTGGTTGTTTTTGTTTAGCGGCATATCAACACCTCTATGGGTTATTTAATGCAGAAATCTAAATATTTTGAACACAATTTTATACCTTCTTTTACAGATATTTTGATTGCAATTGTATGCCTTCAACTACAGATAAAATGTATTGTTGGTCATTTTGATGTAAAATGTATTATTGTTAATTCTACTATACCTACTATAAAATGTATTATTAGTCATTTTGCTTTAAAAATGTATTGTTGGTAATTTTACTATAAATAGGTATCGTTGGTAATTCTTTTAATATAAAAATGTAATGCTGGTATTTTTACTATAAAATGTATTTTTATAGTTTCATAGTGTTTGGGGGGGTCATTAATTTCCCATTGCTGGGACCCTAACAGGTGCTACCACCCCGGGTGAGATTGGACATGAGAACAACAACAATTAAGATTGTAGAAAAAGAAGAATTGTAAAATTTGATAATTTGTGTGCAAATATTGACCATGATTTTGTGTCAGTAATCAGCTTATTAGTAATCATCTTATTGTGGCTTGTAACAAATGTCCGGAATCCGTTTCCTTTTACCAACAGAATAGCGACATGAACTTGGGTCAAATAATCCAACAACACATGTCTCCTATTCGCTACGCTCGTCATCGCTATCCTCTGTCGCTTCTTTAAGCACTTTTTGTAGACAAATTTGCATACGTGGAAACGGAG